AAGACCGAACCTGACCTACAGTATGTAAACAGAAGCAAGACAAGACAAATCAGTGAATTTGGGCTTCAGTCAGAATCACATAGCACACTTTTGATAATATATCTTCATGCTCCACATCACGTAAATGTAGATATGCACAAACGTAAATATATGCATAATGTTCACTGCAATATTTGTGTCAACCGATATACAAAGTTTGATCCTTATTTTTTTATAGTTTTATTTGTTTTTTTGTGCCAGTTATTGTTCTATCAAAGTAGAAGTCATGTAAATCCTAAATCTAAAACGCATACCAGTGATTCTTCACAATTTAGACAATTGGAAAATGCAAAAGCCGTGCTTTTTTTTTGTTGATCTTGCTCATTTCTAGTAAATGATTAGCACAGTCTGAATGATGGCTTTGATCTCTATGCATTTAAATGGAGCACCATTCTCCATTTTCCATTTTCTTACATTAAGACATGCACAGACAAATAAAGCATTAAACGCCACACTGACATCAATCTCAGATTCATATAAAGAATTGAGTTCTGCAGAGAAGAAAAAACATGATCACAGCACGAAACTGTGATCACTTTCTGGTTAGAAATTAGTTTAATTGGTCACACTTCATGTCTCTGTTGTAGGTATCTATGAACAATCTGTTGACATTATTAATCATGCATTAATCATATAAAGAGCTATAAAAAACTGTAACATATCCTATTAGGGTTGAAGTAAAATGTATAATTTAGGCTATGGTTGGGATTAAGACTAATATCCAATTAATCTACATTACAGATGGATTATCAACCTTATTGTCACTCTTAATGCTTTATTTCATTTATAAAGAAATTATAAATGTAATTTTTATAACCCAATCTAAAGTGATAAGGATAGATTTATTCGTTATTTGCCAATTGCCTCCATTCTATGCAACAGGTAGAATGAATGTAACTTTCGTCACATATTAATTATCCATATTGTAGAGTAGATGTACCGAGTGCTGCATTTTCCACCTAATTATTTTCAGTTTTGAAAAACTGCAAATTATGTCCTTGCAACCAACTTGCTCTTTGGCATAACAAAACAGAAATGCTTTTATATACTGCACATAAATATTCAGGACTTACCTTGAGTCAAAAGAGCAAATTGTAAAACTGATTAGCAAAGTCTAACAACATCATATTAATTTTCATGGCAATTTTTTTAATTTAGAAATGTAGAAAATGAGAGCTGAGCTGGAGAGTACCTTGAAGACCCTTTCCAATAGTATAAGAGTTACACTTCTCAAATTTATTGAGATAGTAGCTTACAACACACTAATAAATGTGTCAAATGTCAGTAATTTTCTTAATCTCTTTTCCTCTGTTAGTGACTACAGTACATGCAAGGGAGAGCAGAATTACAGTTGATCATCGCCAAGATACAGACTTCTGCAAAGCACTTAAGATTTTTAACTAGGGCTACAGATCTCTTGTATTATCTGTCATTACCTCTGAATCTATTGACTATTTGTATAGAATGATTGCTTCTACTTTTAGTGGATGCTTTTTTTTTTCTTTTTGGAATAAAAAAATAGTTTTTATCTTTTTTTTATATCTCATAATAAAGTGAACTGACCTTTTTAGCACTTTATATATGCTATCCTATCGTGTGTGTGTCTCAGAGTGAAAGTAATCTCACAACACCACGTGACCTTTCATAGTACGATATTTTGTAGAAGGACATTATATCTTCTGATGGGCATTCGATTTGTGTATCTTATTGAGATATGAAAGGTGAAAGGTGGTTATTTAAAACAAATGACTTGTTAGTAGTCTCATGTATCCAAGTTTTATACATCTGAAGAAAGGTTTTTAAAACTTTTAATTGATTCAGATTGAAAATTCACACAGACCAGCCAATGTGAATGGACAAATCATGGTTATTCATTGTGAAGCTTCTTGGAAAGTAGCTGTTTCACAGAATCTTAACAAGTATTCATTAGAAACTTCCTGATTGATATCGCACTTGAGGCACATTTATTACATTTTTTTTAGTTGCTTCCTTTGCATTTTTTGTTTTCTCTACGAATATATGAACAATATAATAGCTCCAAATTGAGAATTTGGCATGCAGCCCATTATTAATCACTAACATTCTTCATTCTGAATCATCATGACACAGAATCTAATTGTATTTTTAAAAAATCCATTGTATTAATTGTGACAGCATGATTTGTACATTT